AGTAGAAGGGTTTTTACCCAAACTATAAATGGAGCGACAAATCACTCCCAAAGTTGCACTTAGAGTTTGATAATAAATTAAGATGAGTGAGTTAGTTAGCATTCTAGCTTTAATGACACTGTAAATAGTATAGCCTACATTGTGCTTAATAAAGCACACATAACTAACCTGACAGTGGGTTAAAAAAAAAAAAAAAAATTAATATTAATATTATAAGACTATGGGTATACAAAAAAAAAAAAAAAAATTAATATTAATATTATAAGTAAGGAAAAAACTCTTTTTACTAATTCTCTAACCTCACACAAAAAAGATATTTACAAGAAGTTTTGTACTTTTTTGCTAATAAAGTATTTATACTTTAATTAAAATAATTTAAAGCTTGTCTTCACTTATCTCTCCTATCCCCTTACTTGTTTATAATCTCCTTTAAATAAAAACTTAAGTCTATAGTAGCCTGAAAAGACTTAAGTATACACTTCTTCTACTAAGGGCAAGAAAGTTTTAGGAAGTAAAATAACTAATAAGTGAGGTGTCCTTTTATAGAGTTTGAAGTGACAAGAAATAAAGATTCTGTTGATAGGGAAAGGCTTGTTATTCACTTTCTCATATACTATCTTATATCTTCTTAAAGGCCTACTGTTTTTTATAGTTTTCTTGAGGGATTTTGCCTACCTCAGTTTGACCCTAAATTTTTAATAACACAATGTCACCTGGCATCTAATTGATTGACATGAAACATGTTAATAGCTGAATATAAACAAGCTCCTATTGATCATCTTATATATTCTAATAATGTTATTAGTAATTGAAAAAGTTAATTGATACCATATGTTTGTCACTCCTCCAATTGAATTAATATATAAATCAAGTTTTATGAGATCAATAAGATATGAGCAATAAGTTCTCAAGTAATGAAAAAGCTTTTATTTGTTTAAATTAAAATCTTTCTCTTCTATTATTTCAGTTAAACAAAGTTTAAAATAAAGGTCTCCTTTTTATCCTGGTCAAGCAATAAAACTAAACAGTTTCTAGTTCATGCTAAGCTTCAATACTTTGATTACAGTTGAAAATACATTTTCCAGAATTTGTTAAATAATATTGCAATCGACAAGGATTTCCATCTCTTTCAAGATCCTCTCACCATTACAAGGCAATAAGATTATTGAGAAATCTGGTCTTTTGGATAATGGAAGATATATATTAATTAAATTTCTTTAACTAAGCATGGTTACTAGAAGGTATTATACTGAAACAACATGACTCAATTTCTACTAGGTCATATAAAAACCTAGAATCTATCATAAGTCACCTTTCTACTGCAGTTGAATAAAAAACTACTGTCCAAAGAAGGTTAGAATTAAGTATATCCTGGAAGTAAAGATTTCTACTAAGCAATAAGTTTTCTCAAATAATACATAAAAAGAAAATTAAGATAAAAAATGGATAAGTTCCTTAGATAGTCAGGAAAAGAAAGAATATTTCAATCAGATATTTTTTATTGATAAGAGGTCTTGAGAAGCAGGTTTTTAAAAAAAGCTGGAAAATTTTTTTCCATTTTTACCTTTTCATTTTTTTGTTATCTATTTAAACTTTTTTAGATAACACTTTTTATTTTTTTTTTAACCTATCTTTTTGTAGTTTCTTGTATTCTAGTAGCTTGATGAGACATACAGTAGTGATAATCTGTTAGCAATGATGCAGTAGATTAGGAGAATTTTTATCCAAAAACATTGTGAAGCAAAATATTGTTTCAAGGTTAAACTTAAAGGTTATGATGCTTATGATAAGTTAATTAGATTATATTAATAGTTTAGCTGTAGTATGCATTATGTTGTTCAAATGAAAATATATTTATGTTTTCAATTAATTAATAAACTAACAATTTAGCATGGCTATAGGTATTCAAAAAAAAATAAATAGTTATAATAATAAGAACTTTATATTAAAATATCAAGTTTAATTAAATTTTATTTTTTCTTTAAAAAATAATTAATTTGATTTTATTTTAAAATATTTTAATTTGATCTTAAATTTTTTTTTTCAAAATATTTTATAAATATTTAATTAAATTAAGATTTAAATTTTGAACATATTATGAAAATAAATAAATTGATTTATTTTTTTTTTTATTCTTTTATTAGTTTTAATTTATATGTAACTATATTATTATCTTGAAAAAAAATATAAAAAACAATTATTAAATAATAAAAAATAATTTTTAGAATTTTTTATATATTCTTGATTATTTATTATAAGTATAATAAATTTTGCAAAAAATATTCTTATGTAATTATACTTTTTTATTTGATTTTATAGTTGATAAAAACAATTATATTGTATTTTTTATATAATTTTTTTAAAAATTTTTATATAAATCATTTTTAAGAATTAAATATTACAACTTATTATTTCAAATAATCAATTGCTATTCTAATTTTAATCTTTTTATTTTTTATACTATTTTAATTTTTTTTTCTATTTTATTTTAAAACAAAAAAGTTTTTAACTTTAATCTAAGCATAATAGCCTTGTTTATAAAATACATAATAATAGTATTTATTATTTCTGAAATAATTATAATAGTAATAAATTGTTTAGTAATTTGTTTTGCAGTTTAACAATTCTAATTATATGTTTGCTTGTAAAAACATTCATAAGTTTTGACCTATCTTGACCAAGGAGCAATAATAATTCTTCTAGATTTCTTATATTTATTAATTATATTAACAATTTTTATTCTTAATTATTTTATGATTAATATGTTTTTACATGAAAAATTACTTTTAAAAAGATCAATATTTCATTATATTTAAAATTTATTAAATAAGAATCTTTTAAGTGTTCAAAATTAAAATTGGAAAATTTTTAACAAATGTATTTGAAAACTGTATTTTAATATATTAAATTTTTTTATTTATTGCTTTATTGCGCAATTGAATTTAAATATTACTATTGATCTACCAATATATAGATGGGTATTATTATATTAAAGAAATTATAAAAAAATTTATACACATAAAAACTTTAATTATAACAATAAAGTATCAATTGTATATATAAACAATTATTTGTTAATAATAAAATATTTTTTTTTTTGTATTGTTTATTTATTTAAATAAGAAATGATATTAAAATTTAAGTTATACATGAAAATGAGTTGCAAAAAAAAATCTCTTAAAGAAAGAATATTATATAATAAAGAAGCTTAAAAAGAAATAATGTCTATTGCTAAAATTGTTTAAATAATTGAATGATCTGTGATAGTAGTTAAAATTGCCTTTATTGATGGAATCTGTCAATTGTACTAATTATTTTTTTTAAAAAACAGGGATCTAAACCAATTATCAATAAATACCTTGACTGTTAACTTTTGTAAGAAATTAAGATTAATCTAATATTAAGAAAATTACTAAAACATCTTTTTACTATTGAAATTTCATAAAGAACTTAAACTACTATGTCTACACAAATTTTAATGAAAATTTCAAAAAAAAATAATATTAAATTTTATATTGTAGGCAAGGAACCTTTGATAAGTGAAATTAATCATATAAGATGATTAAAATGGGCAAGAAAACACAAGAATTGAATCAAAGAATAATGGAAACAAATCTTATGAACAGATGAATCCTCCATCAATACTGATTCATATAAAAAAATTTGGATCTGATATTATAAAGATGAATTTTATGATCCAAGTTGTACACAAGTAACTATTAAAAGTGATTACAAGTCAATTATGGTTTGAGGATATATAAATGGATATGATTTATGCCATTTAGTTTGTGCCTCATCTCATATGAATGGAGAAGAATATAGAAACCTTATTTTGGATATTATTTATTCAATAATTTTAACTTCTGATGGAGGAATACTACAAGAAGACAACACACCAATTAACAAATGTAATTTTGTGAAAAAAATTAAAATCTGAGCTTGAAATTATGTCCATAGAATGGCAATTTCCAAATATTAGTCCAATTGAAAATGTGTGAAGGCAAGTTAAATTTTGAATTAAGAAGAATAGAAAATCACATAATGAATTTGATTTAGAAGAGGCGGTTACTATGTTATAATAATATTGGATTTGATACAATTAGTAGTATGCCTGAACGGGTAAAAGAAGTGATTAAAAAAAAAGGTCATGCAACACGTTGGGTAAATTTTTTTTAAAAAAATTGTGATCGATAATTTTCGGTCTTATAAAAATCGCCCTAATGCGGTGATACCCGTCTGTACGTAATACTGAAGCTTAATGAAAGCCTCCTATACATTCGGGGTTTTTGATTGGTTTATATTTATAATCGATCAATTTATGTACATACAGCATGCACATAATTGATTCGGAGAAACTCAAACTTTCATCATCTTTGTCGAAGATGGGAATACCAGGCTTTTTTCGCTGGCTATCCTCACGGTATCCGCATATCGTAAAAGAAGCCAAGAAAACACCTCGGAGCAGAACCGACTTCTTATATCTAGACATAAATGCATTTTTCCACATTGCTCTTCGTAAAAGGGTGAAAAGTAAACAGAAGAAGTTAACGTCTCGGGGCATGTTGTCAAAAGTTTTTGCAGAAATGGACTCGGCACTTAATGTCTGCAATCCACAAATGCTCGTATATATTGCCATGGATGGCGTCGCACCTCGAGCAAAAATGAATGAGCAAAGATCTAGAAGATTTTTATCTCGATCCGAGATAGATGCGGAAAATGCCGAATTGATAGAAGAAGCGCAAAAAAAATCAAAGACGGGATTTTATGTTCCTGTCGATAGTGTGTCAATATCAGCAGGAACAGAATTTATGCAAGTGGCGCACGATGCAATTAAATATTATATATACCAACGGTTAAATGGCAAATTCAAAAACCTCCAAATTATATTTAGTGATTCTAATGTCGCTGGAGAGGGAGAACACAAGGTTTTCAGGTTTATGAATGCACAACGTAATCACCCAGATTACAATTCTAAGCATCGACATGTTGTCTGCGGAGGAGACGCGGATTTCCTAATGTACGCCCTATTAACGCACGAACCCAATCTTCGCATCTTGCGACCTGGACTCGATGGAAAGGATGTTATGCTTAATATAAGTACTCTTCGTAAGCTCATTATTCGTGACATGGTTCAGCAGACGTCTATGGAAATTAATGAAGACAACATAATAGATGATTTCGTGTGCATCGCCAATTTGCTTGGTAACGACTTTCTTCCACGACTATCCCATTTAGGTGAGGCAAGGGTTGACATGCTTTTCCTAGCTTATAATTCCTACTTTAGAAAAGAACGGAGTTACATAACCAAAAATAGAGCCGAGATAAATATAGAAAATTTTCTCAAATTTATAAGGTGCCTTTCGCAATTGAAGAAGTCAAATATTTTGAGAAGAAATAAGATACAAGATGATACATTTGAAGAGAACGCGATTTCCAAGAGAGCGAATGATTATTTAAAAACTATTTGCTGGTCATTCCAATATTATAGCGGAGATTGTCCGAGCTGGAGGCATTTTTACCCACATCATAGATCTCCAGCCATTCTAGAGATTTTGAAGCATGTCAAAGCCGACGGATTCGATCAAACCTTCAATACCGATACTCCAATGCGACCATTCGACCAATTAATTTGTATTTTACCACCAAATTCCAGCTATCTCGTCCCCCCACCTTTCCGTTCCTTATTTACTGATCCCGATTCGCCTCTTCAGGAATACTTTCCAAAAGCATTTAAAACCTTTCATTACAAGGCCCTTTTACCATTTGTTGATGAAGAAAATTTAGCTCGGGCAATGGAGCCAGGCTACGCATTGTTGGACGAAAAAGATGCATTAAGAAATTCCATAAATGGCCGAATTAATATGTATGCCGGTCGTGAGTCTTCATTATACCCAACTTTGCATTCTCTTTGTTCCAGTGGAGGCCGTACTCTCTCATCAAATTCGTCAGTTGTATTTGGGAAATTATCATATGATGGGCCTATGCTAAAATCAGTTAATGCCCCCGTTGATGAGTTCCAAAGAATCAACTATAATAAAGTCGCCATTGCACAATATCAATTACCGTTGAATACAGATGAGTCTGATATTCCGTATATAATTCCGCAAAAAAGCCCCAACAAGAAATCTTTTGCCCTCAAGTTACAAGAGAAACTGCCCAGTGATTACCGAATATCTCATTCTGAAGGTTCAATGTCATCGCCTGTTCCTTACGCGAATCTTAAAAAGAACAAGCTCAGAAACTCCAGCAATGTCAATAGAATATCTGCTTCGATTCATACTAGCGCTTCATTCGGTGCAACAAAGATTCATTCCGGAAAATCAATGCCTTCATTTGGTAAACAAGAGTATCGATTTTATGGTATGAATTACTCGTATTCGCCAAAAAACAATAGTGGTCGAGGATCTTTAGAAGCAGAGAATAGTGTAAGTAATGGAGGGTTAACTTCCCAGGCTCAGCCTAAAAGTATGAATAATAATGACTAGTAAAACGAATAATTACTTTCAACATCCTTCAAATTATTATTCACTAAATTCCGACTACACCAATTAAGGGTATACATTAGACGATCAACTATAAAGATATCAAGATTTACAGTATCTTTTAGATATGCTGCGTGTATAGATAGATACGAGAAAGTTTAAATGATGATTTCCATAATTTGCACATATATTTGGAAATATATTATCATATCATTTTTTAGGTGACACACTTTTGATGAGTTGTCTGGTTGGATTTTACAAGTCCATATTTAATCTGTCTTCAAATTTTTATAATCACATTCGTATTAGTTTAAGCATTATCAATAGACACAATACCTATAAACCTTAGAATTTCGCGCTAATTCTCTTGACTAATATACAAACTTTTGGTTTTAGAAATTGATTTTCAAAAATTCTGCCGATGATGTTATATTGGGTGCTTTTTTGATTGAGCTGGAACAAAGAATTCCGAGTGACTTATTCTTTAATAACAAACAATAAAAACATATTCAGCTGTCAGACAATCAATTATTTTCTTATAATAAACAACAATTGATTTAATTTTAATGTTAGTTTTTTAAAGCTTGAAAAATTTTGTAATGCAATCCCCTAAAACGATAAATTCAACGTGTTTATCATAAATCACAACAAAAACACCAATGAACCTGAATGATCAACAGAGACAGTGATTTTTGTCAGTTAAACAAACGAGTCAAGGAACAAAATATTGTATAGTTTAAGCAATGTAACTCAAAATTCTCGTTTCTCAAAATCATACGAATACGTAATTTTGGAAATAATATTTTAATTTCCATCACGAACTGAATCACATTCAGATTGAAGATGCACATTGCACTGAATCTGAAAGTGACACGATTGTGTGAGACCTTCCCACGAATGCATTAAAGAAAGAGAGAGAAAAACACAATTCAATTCTTCTTGCCCTTACTGGGCATATGCTTTCTTCCAATTTTAATTTAATCCATCAATTTTCTGAGAATATTGTCAGTGACAAAATGGATTCGATCTAAAAGACAAAACAGACGACTAGCAGCTGTTAATTATTATATCAATCCGTACACAGTGAAATGATAAAAAAAGCTTATAAAGTCACGAACATACAGTATATACAAGGGATTAATTAAACACGGGACTTTTTCAATCATTTTGACACCTGGAAATTCGATTTGATTTGACTGGCAGAGTAGGAACGGTCAATCCCATATATAGAACAAAACAGTTTAAAATTATATATTGACAGATTTATCAGCATGCTCAGGAAATCACAATGGAGACTGTCAATAATTAAACATAAATTAAACTTACAGTATATAACAAAAATAATTATTATTTTAAGCAAAATGAAGTATAATAATTGTAAATAGATTTAAAAACTGAGTTAAATCATACGAGTTTAAAATTTTGATGATTACAAATTCTATTCACAGCATTTTAATTTTATCAATAAATAAGTTATGTGGCGAGTCAAACGGAGAGTCTGTTACTACAGGCCCGAGCTCGAGTAATTCGAGAATAAGATAACGAGACATAAACACGCGAAACTAATGAGACGTGGTGAAAATATTTACCGAGAGTCTTTATTTACTATGGTACCTAACGCATGAGCAAAGAGAACTTACGCGATCTGGTATCATGGGATTTTTGGATGTATGGCCGTAAAAATGGTCTCTTACATATACAATATTAATATTATGTGGCTTAACATAGTATGAATCTTAATAAACTAAGGTTTAGTCTTTTAATTAAAAAAGGTTTTACAAAAGAAATATTTTCTTAGTATATTATTTCAATTAAATTTCAAGTAAAAAAATTTTCTGTGACCTAAATCTTGAAATAATATATTCAAATATAAAGGTTTTAATATATGAATATATCTATTATATTATATATTTTATCGATTTATTAGATTTTAATTGTAATTATTGGTTTTGTTAATAGAAATTATAAAATGAAAAATTGATAAATACTTTTAATTCGCATTAACTTATAAAGAATAATTATGAAAATAATAATAACATTGGAGATTATATTATTAATATAAAGGGGGTAAATAATAATAAAATATTTGATAATATTAATCCAAATAAGAATAATCTTGATATGGAATTAAAAATAACTATTGACAATTTTATTTTATTAACAAATAAAAATTTTTCTTACCTAAATTTAAGACTTTCTATTGAATCTTTAGAAAATATAAATCAAAATAATAATGAAGAATCTCATTCTTCTAATAAAAGAAAAGGAAAATAACATCTTGTGATTCAACTAATAAAAAATAATTTATTGATAAATTATTATTTATGATTATTATTTATAGTCATTATACATTAATAAGTTATTTATTTACAATTTTTATTTATATAATATTTTTGACTAATTTGCTATTTCAAAAATTTTATTTAATAAAAAATAATTAGATACTTTATAAAACTTTTAATAAAGCATATTCAATTTTAAAATGTTATTTATTTATAAATACTTGACATTTAAATACAGTATATAAAATTTTAAGTTATGTTATATAGAAACAATATTAGCTCCGTGCAATTTTAAAATGGACCGGCGGTTTAAACAAATTTCGCGTAATTTCGATTTTTCACATGTCTTTTATTTTGGGAAAAAATCGACCGTTAAAAATCTAAGCCATGAGAGATCGGCTGTGAGCATCCGGTTATTAATGCTCAGATACAGTATTTATACGTACTCAGTACTGCACATATTGTAAGGTTGTTAAAATAAGCCATGACTTCAAAATTCTTTGAAAAATTATCTGTCAACTTTACTAAACTTCTTGATAGTGATGATGATTATGATGTGATTGTTGAAGTTGGTGAGACACCTCTCAATAAAAAGTATAAATTGCACTCCCTTATCCTAAAAACTCGCTGTTCGTTTATTTTAAACGAACTAAACGAAACAAGGGAATTAAAGAAATCTGGTGTATCCGTTATCGTCTTTGATATAATTGTGAAGTAAGTATTTACTGGTTTTTGTAGTTACAATATACTTATTAAAATTCGTTGATATTTTATACAGATATATTTATGGCGCAATTCTTTCACTGGATAGGTTGGAGAGATCCGTTATATTTGACTTATTAGTTGCAGCTAATGAACTTAATCTTGAGGAATTAGTTGATACCGTTCAATTATTTCTTCTTGAAAATTATTCCGACTGGTTACGCATAAATTTTTCTCGCGTTCTTCGTGCAAGTTCTGGGAATTCTAAACTAAAAGGATTAAAAAAATTTCGTGATGATATTATTAATGAGTATCCCTCTGCCGTGTTTAGTGCGGACGATTTTTACTTATTGCCTGAAGATACTTTTATTTCGGTTTTAAAAAAAGACAATTTACAATTAGAAGAATTACAAATTTGGGATAATATGATTCGGTGGGGAAAAGCACAAAGCAACACTTCACCTTACCAATCGATTTCGAGCAATGGACTAATGAAGATTTTATGATTTTAAAAAATACTTTACAAAGGCTTTTACCCCATATTAGATACTTTCAAATTCCCAATAGAGACTTGGTTCATAAAGTCAAACCCTAAATTCAGGTCTTTGATAAAATTATGTGGGATGATATTGCTTGTAAAATGATGGACCCAGATTACCATGTTTCTTTGAATATTTTACCGCCTCGTGATAGCACTAATGTCGTATTGCCGACCAAAGAAAAAGGTATGGATGGAAACGGATATACTGTATTAAGGTCAATAGGGTATAAACATTGTATTAACAATCTGTAATTTAAACAGGTTTATCCCTTCAATATCTACGAGATAAAATAGAATCATACTTTATAACAAGAGATTATATAAAATCATTAGAACTCTGCGAAGTTATTCTTACCAATTCCCGACACACACCGAAAGACCGAAGACGTGCTTTAAATTGGGATCTACAATACAAGAATCTCGATAAAGTAGCAGGAAAAAAATTGGCTGAAGTTTTATGCAAGAACATCACTCTAATTAATTTGAATATACGAAATAATAATATAGGTGATTTGACGGGAAAAATGATAGCAGAAGCTTTATGTAATAATACCATTCTAACAAATTTAGATGTTAGTTTAAACGATATAGGAGATTCAACTGGAAGGGCATTGGCGCAGGCACTATGCATAAATACCACATTGACCGAGTTAAATATTAGTTTGAATAATATAGGAGATTTGGCAGGAAAGAAATTAGCGGAAGCTCTATGCACGAATACCAACCTGACAAAGTTAAATATGAGTTCGAACGAGATAGGAGATTTCACGGGAAAAGCGCTAGCTGAAGCTCTCTCTAGGAATACCATCCTTAAAGAATTAAATATTAGTTGGAATAATATAGGAAATTTAACAGGAAAGGCGCTAGCAGAGGCTCTGTGCAAGAACACCACTCTAGTTAATTTGAATATACAGAGTAATAATCTAGGGGATTCAACCGGAAAAGCAATGGCAGAAGCTCTGCGTAAAAATACCACTTTGACCGAATTAAACATTGGCTTGAATAAAATAGGGGATTCAGCAGGAAAATCACTTGCCGTAGCTCTATGCACAAATATCGCTCTGGCTGTTTTAGATTTACGTAAAACTAATCTTGGAGATTTAGCAGGAAAAACATTAGCCGAGGCTCTACGTAAGAATACTACCCTAACAAATTTAAACATACAGAATAATAATATAGGGGATTTTGCAGGAACGTCAATAGCCAAGGCTCTGTGCGCGAATACCACTCTGATCAATCTGAATATGCAGAATAACAACATCGGTGATTATACAGGAGAAGCATTAGCGGAGGCTTTATGCAAGAATACCACTCTGGCCAATTTAAACATACAGAATAATTATATTGGTGATTTTGCAGGCGAAGAACTGGCCGAAGCTTTGTGCAAGAATACCACCCTGATTGAACTAAACATGAGTTGGAATAAGATCAGAGATTCGGCAGAAGCACTGGCAGGGGCTCTATGCGAGAATACCACTTTGGCCACTTTTTCCATAAGTGGAAATGCATTGGAAAATTGGGCAAAGAAGGAATTTGCCGAAGTTGCAAATCAGAATACTAATGTAAAAATTTATACGTAAGCAATATTATACTTTTTACAAATCTACTTTATCAGAATCTATTAAGTTTTATTAAGAATTTTATCTATGAAACAACATATTTAATTTTGATCCTACAATTTCACAAATTAGCTGTATTGCGAATTATTGGTTTTTAGAGATGATTTTATGATAACACTAGTATATTAATCTTTAAATAAATATAGAAATGATAATTATTTATAGTGATCTGAATAATATTTGAATTTTTTTCATAATTTATACAATAGGGTATCTTATATTCACAATCAAAAATCATTTTTTGAATTTTTTTCTAATATTCTTCTTTATAAATAAATCTCATTTTAATATTTATATTATATATATTTAATAATTTTAATAAATTTTTTAAACGGCTTATTCAATCTTTTTAAAAATACTTGTTCATTTAATAAAATAACTTTAATTGTTATTATTTTTTTTTATTATTTCAAATACATGCAGTATATTATGCATATTATTTTTACTGAATTTTATTTTAAAAATTATTATATTTAAAAATGAATTTCAAATTAATATCTTTTATATAATCACATATTATAACATATCTTTATTGAGATATTAAATAAATATTTATAATATCACATATATTATTTATACGATATTTAACTTATTGTTATATACTATTAATTAATAATTATATTATTTAAAATATAAAAAGTTTACTAAACTAGTTCGAATTAAATAAAGTCAAATATAAACTAAACACTTTAAAATAGATTTAGAGAATATATTTACTTCTTTAATAGATTGTTATATAATTTTATTTACTAAAATTATTTTTAATAATTTATTACTATAAACATTTTAAAAATTTTAAATTGTTCGATTGAATTGAAAAAGGTAAAAAAAAATCAATTCAAAGTTTTTTTAAAAGGTTTGGTTAATTTAATTCAATAATTTACTTTTATTTAATTAAATTATTTTTTAGTATTAAACTATTAATAAAATATTTTTATTTACTATTAATAATACTTTTTCAAAAATATGTAAAAAACTTAATTTTTAGTTAAAGCTAAATTTATTTATTATATTTTTATATTAATATTATATTAGGTGAATTTGTCTTATTATAATAAAATAACTTTTTTAAAAAAATTTTACCACTTGAGAACCTTAATAATAATAAATAATAATATATTTTATATTATAACTTGTTGTTTATCTTTATATTTGCTTTATAAGTATTTAAAATAATATTTTTTTTAACCCTCTGTCAAGCTAGTTATATGTGTTTTATTAAACATTTGTAAACTATACATATAATATGGATCACTAAAGCTAAAAAATACTAACTAGCTCATTTATCTTTATAATTACTACTTTAAGTGTAACTTTGGGAATGATTTATCTCTCTATTAAAAGTTCAGATAAAAAACCTTTTAACTCTTAATATCATTGCCTATAGGTCACTACTAT